TGTTTCAGAGAATTCCTTCCACCTGCCAGGTCCTATGCCTTCAATGGTGGATATACCTCTGTAGCAAGGGAAGATGGACTATACAGACAAAGGCATAGCCACATGCCTATTGACAAAATAAAGACAAATTTTCCTGAGAAAAAGTTATATGTTTTGCCAGAACATCTCATACTGCTCCTCTCAGGCCTACAAGTACTTCATCAAGTATGTGAAGTTCTTCTGAATTTTGAAAGTTTACTACAATATTGTTAAAATTACTATGATATTGCACTTCTCTGAGTCAATCACAGGAGAAGTGATAACAAACCAACCAACAGTGGGGGAGAAAAAAAGTGATCTGGTAGACATTACTTACTGGGCTGAATAGCAGCCGACCCGTCATCCAGTCTATTAACACTGCAGTCACTCACCATAACTTTTAACCTACATTGGCCACTGGCTACGTAATTTCAATGAGAGAATATAGTTTGTCAAAATATCGGCTTTTCCTGTTACAAATACCATTTGGATATTTTGCATGTCGCTTCTGGAGGGACTGGTCACTTTCTGAAAGTGTGTTGCAAACACCTCTCCAAAGTGACATGTCTCGTGTAATAGCCACAACCTCTCTCTTATTTTTGTACAGCAGAAAAGCAGTAAAACATATTTTAAATAATCCCGCTTTATGTTTAAACTCAGTGCTGCAGAAAGCTGTCATGGTAATTTTGATTTCAAAGGCTGAAAGAAAGGGGAAATGACCTTTATTCCTGGTATAATGTGAGTGGATCATTTTTGTGATTGCTGTATAGAGAACTTTGATGTTTTCAAATAGAACCGTAGTATATTATTCACTGTTTACTCTTGAGAAACCACACACACAGCATAAATGTAACTTGAGTTTAGAAAAAAATATATGCACACACACAAACACACACACAAAGATCAACTCGGGTACTGGAGAGAATATTGATGTGCAGTAAATTGGAAGAATTTGATCTCTACATCCTCCCCTGTGTGCTTGGTTTTATTCCTTATGTCCTTTGAGCTGTCTGTTATTTTAACATAGTGCCAGGTATCAGAATACTATACAAATAATACAGTGCCTCAGTTGAAGGAGACCACAAGAGCACACGAGTAATAGATATAAATTTGGACACACTCAAGACTAAGTGTTGCAAGAACAGTAAGGCTTCTGGCAAATTAGTTTGACCCTCACAAAATATATTTTTACTGGAAAATAGGAGCAAGATGCTTTTTAAGGACCGCATTAGCCAATGCTGCAGTGCAATGATGCGAAGACAAAGCTGTGAAGGAAGTTGTATGTGATCTGCTGTAGGAATTCAAGTGAGATTGGCAAAGCAATCATACTATGCATATGAAAGTCTATGAGCACATTACTGAATATCAGAAAGCAAGGAGCAAGAAAGGCAGAGCAGTAATTCATTTTCTCTAGGAAATTATATCCCTTACTTTTAAAATCTACACAATAGCTCAGTTGCAAAAGCAAGGAATGAAACAGTGTGATTAGGGCCACCTGCGGCCTATAGATCTGCTTACACCTGTATGGGAAATTTTCAGCAATGATATTTATTTGTTGTTATAAGAGTATGTTGTACTGCTGATGTCATTAGATTATTGAGCACTTCCCAGCTGGAATTGGTTGAATGTGAAGAAATCCTTAGAAAACTTAATGAAATCCATAGTTCTCATACATTTCAATTGGGATTGTTTATTAACTGGTGTTATTGGCACAAGGTCAAATATTCAACCTGCTCCTGTTATCGTTTTAGTCTTTAAGAGCCTAGGGATATTAGTGGTAATTACTTAATTGGAATTTCCCTTCAAGTAGATTTAACAAAATGCCAAATATGAGAAACTAACTACTTGTAAGAAATTTGTGGTATGCCATCCTTGTATTTGGCTGTGTATGTTTTGCTAATAATAATTTCTTTTGTTATCACTGTGTCGCAACTCCAAGAACCAGAATTTTAATGTTAGAACATTCTATAGTCTTCCCTCACTCATTTAAAGTAGAGTCATGAGAAAACTCCAAAATCCTCAAAATGTAAAACAAGAACAAGAAAAAATTATTAAATACATTCTGTACATAATATTCCCAGCAGCTCACATACAAAACAGGTTGATTCTCTTGCCATTCTATCAAGATTGGATTGTCTGCTTACCATGTGAAACAAGAAACAGGGAGGATGTTACAAATCAAAAGGAGATATATAGACAAAAAATACTGGAAGGAAGATGAAGTGTGTTTCTCCTCTTCTCCATGTCATAATCTCTGATGTGTTCCCTAATTGCATTATAAATTGGTCTTGAAATATGTAATTTCCAATGTTTTTTGCTCAGTGATCAGAGAGAAGTAACTTTTTCCACTAAAATCAGATGACTCTTTCAGTGGTTGAATTAACATTTCTGAATACAAAATACTGCATATTACTTGGTCCAGTGAAGTATATTTGACTTAATATTATTCAACAGGGTAATTATGGAGAAGATATACAACCAAACAAAGTAAATTAATATCAAATCTTAAAACCAGGGAGAAACATTTTACTTGCATATCTAATCCTGTAGTGGGTTTGGCTGTGGGTGGAAACAGAAACATATCCTCTAGCTGATTAGCTTTGCAGGAAAACAACCCAACTTCAGAACATGGGTCCAAAACAAAAGGACTTGAAAGCTTTGCTATTGTTACTGATGGACTTTAAAAGTTCAGTTAGTTAAACGAATGAAGAAAATCACAGCATCTGCTGAGAAGGTTTGAAGAGTTTAAATAAGCACCTTGTGAAAAGCCGCCTTTACTGTACAATATTTTTCCTAACCATTTTGTAAGGAAAATATCTCCAAACCTAGTTTTATTATCAAACTCTGAGGTGAAAGAAGCCCTAGAAAGTCAAATATTTCTTTCTGTAGCAAGGATGACACCCTTAGACCTACTGAAGCAGGCTCTGTACTTGTACAAATTCTTTACTTCTTGAAAAATGTATTACAATGTATTTTTAAAATATGGTGTTTGGAACAGAAATAATGTGTAGATTCACCCTTTTGTCTCTCTCCAATGCTACTTTTTGTACTAATCCAAAGGAGGAATGTAAATCATGTTTTGTCAGAAATCCTGGCTACAGATATAATTACTGAAGTCTAGGTCTTTGTAGTTCACAACTGGTTTCTGCAGAGATTGATCACTAGAATGTTTCATTTTGTTATGTGTACTAGATTACCTGAAGACAGGTCTTTTACTATTGTATGAGAATTATCAAGACTTAGAAAGATACTCTTGAAATAAGAAGAGCCAAATTGTTGCCATTGCAGACCTGTTTAGTAGGACATCTTTGCTATTCCACTAGCGCTCACTGCTCCCAGCCTGACTTGGCTTCTTGCATTTGTTCTTCTCTTTTCCCTTCCATGAAGTGCTTCAGTCCTTTCATTTACTAATGTACTAACAGAACAGCTATTCCACTGCAGTTTTCTTTTTTTCATTATTTTTAATGGTTTCTTTCATGTATCTTCTTAATGGTGTGGACACACAAACAGTCAAATCGGTAGGACTAAGGTAATGGCAATGGCAAGAGCAAGAATAAGAAGCACAGAGCATTGCAGGGCAGGGTTTTCTTAAACTGGTTTCCAGCTGGCCTTCTCTGGTTCTCAGTTCTCATTTTCTCTTCAGAGAAGCAAGTGTAATTTATGGCAAAATACGACTGTTCCTCACCCAAACTCAGTTATAAGGAGGAACGAACAACAGAGTGATGGCTTGGGGATTCAGGCTCCTGAGGTTACAAATCTCTGCAAACTAATTAAAGACTGGTATTAAGTAATCATCACTCATCCCTGAGACCTGTATCTAAGCTGAAGAATACTCTTCAGTGTTTAATTTTTAGCTCATAAGTCTAACATGCATCAGAACTGCAGAATCAATGTGGGCAAATGGCAAGGAAGGTAGGGATACAGCTGAACTGCCAAAAACTTCAACTTTCCCTACCTGATGGCTGCAAGGTCCTAGGAATGAAGTGATTTTACTGTTCAACTATGTGCTTGCAAATAATTTTGTCTAATAATGTACTTACAAAATTACTGAGTAAAAAGTGTCTTGAAAAGCCATCAGCTTGGCTGAAACCTACCTCTGAGTAATGCTGTGGAGAAAAAAAATTAAAGATGGGAGAGAAAAGCTCTGTTTTCACTCTCTTTGTTCTGCATTTGTATGAGGATGAAGTAGGCTGCACTGCAGAACAGTAGTTTGTCACAGGAGATATCTCAGCTGATAAAAAGAAATAACCTTGTCACCTTCTGTATCCTTTGCTGAAGTTAACATGTCATTATGCTTCTGGTATTTTATGGTGAGACACTGAGACAAGCTAACATTTCTTTTGTCTTTTTAGTTTTCGTCCTCATTGTCAGAACCTTGACCTCTAGGCGTAATGTGGGCCTTGAACTAAGCATCTGCTCTCTCTCTGGATTTTAGATATTTGCACCTTTACTAGGGACTTCAAAACAGGAGTGTAACCATGTTCTTACTAACCCTGGTATAAAATAGGGATCATTACAATACAGTCAGTGGAATTACTCTGGCAGAAAATGGGGGTAAATGGGGCTCTAGATTGTCCACAGATTTTCAGACAATTGGAAAAGATGTTGCAGTATGTCCTCCAATTACTATTAACAAAAGTGCTCTTCCCCACATAGCCATTTTTCTCAAAATGCCAATTTCTTTTGAGCTCTGCTTCCCATTAAGACTTCTCCTGAATGAGGGTAAATGAAAGTGATGTTCACTTTCATCAGCTGAGCAGTATGAGAGGACTGGCCTTGCTATTACTATGCACTCACAAGCGGCTCAGAAGCAATTGAAACACACTTGGTTGTCTAATTTGAAACTTTGAAAAAATAAAGAAAAGGTTTTTTTAAGGCTCAGCTCAGTAAGAGAATAGCCTGTGCAGCAGCATTTAAAACTTTCAAGTGCTTTTTAGAACAAAATTCTTGATAGGAATTTTTCCCTCTCTTCTCTTTTCTAGCATCCAGGATCTGCTGTATTTCTCCTTTGAGAATTCATAACAGCAACAGATATCTTAGATGTAAGGTAAGAACTGTGAGAAAAGGGTTTGCCTTTATTATTATTAACACGACCAATTTGTACGGCAAAAAGTAGACCTGGTCTTGGTAGGTGGGTGAAGTGTAATGTTCAGCTAAACTGCACTGTAAAACAAGCTGTTAGCTTTGAACAGTGATCCCAGTCTGGCCAACAAATTAAATAATAAATTTCTGCACTGAGGTCTCTTGGTAAATTAATGAGTGAAATCTGTTGGCTCTTGTCCTTCTGGGAGAAGTCTTGCTTATGGTCAATGAGCCCAGATCTGACTTGGACACTCAGAGCTAACCCAGTGGCCAGGGACCTGGCAGTCTGTTTAAACAAAACCAATTTTCATCTCTGTAATGTCAAATTTATATCTATTTACACTCCCTTAGATATGCTTAGATTAAGAGTGACAGAATCTAATTTAGGAAATGTTATTAATCACTGCTGAATCGAACCCTCTATCTGTTTTCTAAGGGAAATTAAATAAAGAGAAGTCTTGTTCATATTTATGAGGGATTTTCCTCTACCTCAGAAGCCTAGCTTCTGGTTTATTGTTCCTAAACAGCTTCTCAAAGGAATGTGAGCCAATAAGCTGTTTACATCGGAATACAATGACACATGTATTTTTTGTGTCAATACATAAGCAGCTGCCAGCTGAGGAGTACCCAGCACCAGATCTCTTGGACTGAAGTGTTTGCATGCTCTGTACCTCACTCAGTAAAACCATGTCCAAGGGGAGAGAATATGCACGTAATGGAAAACCTTAACAGTTTATTGCAAAGTCTGTGCTTTATCAAATTTAATGCATTTATTGGTACAGTTATTCTTGTGCTTTTTCTGCTTATAGGCCAGTTATTGCCCATCTGGTCTTATCAGAATTCATGAACAGTAGAGTTTGGAAAAAATTATGATGGCCAAATACATTTTTAGTGCTAATATGAAGATGTGGTTCTAAAACAAAACAGTTACAAAAATTTATAGGAAATTTTCTATAGAGAACAGTTGAGTCAAAAGGATTGAGACTGAGGCAATCTGATTTCTAAGTGGCTTTAATTTACTTTAGCAATCATGTTGAACTTACTGTTATGGCTAAGGTAAATAAAAATTGTTTGTGTGAGAAAATATTTACTATTTTGCATCCTTGTAGTATAAATCCTTTTTGGTAAAAATCTGATGGAAATCTGCAGTAACCTTCAGTGTCTACAGAGAGTAAAGCTTTCTCATCAGGAAATCTCAAAATACTACACAAACCCCAAAAGTAATGGCTTTGTTTTTATGGGAGAAAGTGATAGAGAGTTTGTTCAGGCCATATGGTTGCAGATGGGTAGAAGTGAAATCATCTGAAGCTCTATCCATTTGGGTTTTTTTCCTCTTACTCTCTTAAATAAGTTCAGTATAGGTATTTTATATATATTTACAATATTCACTGTATGTGTATGCTTTTTGGGTTTCCATCAAGTTTAGTCAGTATGAGTAGAGTATGTCTCCATATGAATACAAAGACGATGATCTTGGTTTCATGAAAAAAAAAAACAGCTAAAATCCATCCCAACCTGTTTGGAAACTCATACCTTCACTGGCACCATGTGAACTTGATCAGTGTTTTCCCCTTCACCTTGTCTCTTCTTATTACCTTAAATTTGAAAGAAATTCCTGTATTTTGATTATAGCTACTGTAGGAATTCAGTTAAAGGAATTCCAATTACCGCGAGCTACAGGAAAACATTTTATAGAATCTTACCCTAAACTTGTGTATGTCAGAGTCTGAGCATTTCATGAGGTTTCATACACCCTCAGTCAATGTTGCAGTTTGTCTGCATCAGTGATGGGATCTAGTATTGTAGGGGCTGCAGGGATGTGTGTGCACACTCAATGTGCTGCACAGAGCCTCTGAGCCCTCGTCCTTCAGGGGTGTCATATGGATGTAGGACTCTTTTCAAATTAATAGGATCCAAATTGGGCATAAGATTATGAAATTAAAAGTTTCAAAGCTGCTTGACATGAATTCTCTTTTAAAATAGATGTAATCAGTGGGAGGAGAGTTTTTCAGGTGTTGATTTTTTAACTCCAAAGTTAGCACAAATACTCAATTATGTTGCTTGGGATTTCTGTCTTGGCATTCTTCTGTTGGGAAGAATTATACTAATAAACCTACCTGACATCTTCAAATTATCACATTGCTAAGTCATTGTCTTTAACGTCTTTCTAAATATTATTTTTTGTTGTAACGATGTCTAGTGGTTAACATATAGGCTTGAAACAGAACCTTCCATCGGGGAAATTAGCATTTTAGTCTTACATGTTTAATATTTCTCATGTTACCATTTTAAAAAGAAGGGTTTATCAAACCAGTTTTAAGAAACCAATGTTCACTGTCTGAAGGAATGTGACCTAGTTCTGTTTACTACCATTCAAAGTGTAGAAATGCAGAGATACCCTGGATAAGATAGACACAGACAACATTACTGGAGTGGTTTAGCAGGATTGCTTAAGAGGATTTGCCTATTCTTGGAGGCCTCCTTAACTTTGCTTCACGGCTCCTTAATGAGACTACTGGTAAAAATTTCAATATACCCTTTCAAGTATGACAAGACTGACTGTAAACAGCTCAGTAGCACTCAGAGCACATCTTTGATTCTCTGGTTTACCTACTTGACTCTATTCAGTCTGTCTCTTCACAACACCCTGCCTAAATAACCTTGAGAAATGTAATTATACACTCACTATTGATTAGTAAGGATCCATATTTAATTATGCGTAACATGTTTCACTTTTAAACTTTTAGTTCTTTGTGCATCAACACTTCATGTCAGACTGCAGTTTACTTTCAGCCATTACAGTGAAGATCTTCATAGGAAAGTGAGGCTTCCTCCTTCCTTAAATTGCTTAAGGAACAGACTTATTTCCTGTTCCTCTATCTGCATTCAAGCCAACATCCTCCCTTTGGTGCAGAAGTGTGACCAGTCATTCCTCATTGAAGGATTTTATTCATAATTTTTGCTAGGAAAACAGTTTTGCTGAGGCAGTGCTTTGAGGTCTTTGCATTGAATCTGTACTGCAGTCTCAAGGGACCATGTCAGTTAAATTTGGACCTATTGCTGTAGCAGTTTCTTTATTTTTAGTTCACAAAAAGTGTTAAATAATAGTAGTATAAGATCACGTACTTGAGCAAACCTGAAGTCTTCTCTAATCTGTTTCTATTTACTGCAAAAAAAAAAAACCAACTTTTTCAGTAGAACAGGAACATATAATTAAAAACTTCAGCATACTAAAAAATATCTGACTTTGCAGGCAGTCTCCTTAGAAGTAATATGTGATGATTTGCTTCCTGTTAAATAAGGAATTGTGCACAAAATAAAACTTACTTTACAATATTTTTCTCAAGCAGGAGCCTAATTGAATCTTCCTTCCAGAAGAAATCTAATCTATGATCCTTAGAGATGCAGATTGAAATTCTTTTTTCTGAATCTGCATCCCCCCATAGGTGGAGTTTGGGATTTTTTGTTAGTTCAGTGAAGAATAAAAACCAGAGGACTTCAGTCTCTATATCTGGTTCACGTATTCTCTGAATACGTGACCTCTGGAAAAAAGGTCATGACAGCAACTCACATCATTGTAGTACTCCAAAAATCCAGACCTACCTGACAGCAGTTCAACACTAGGAGTTCCTACCTAGACCTTTTTCAGTCCCAAACATGGGCTGATTGCTACTGATAATTCAGGGTCAAATTCAGAAGCATCAAACTCAGTTCTAAGGTAATTAACTTGGAATGAAAGAAAATTAAAAAATATCTCCCCTGTTATCAACTTAGTCTTCTTGCTGAAATAACTTCTACAGACTTTATATAGTGTGATGTTATTTGAAGGAGCATCCTTGTCTGCCTTAATATGACAATCTCATAGGAATCAGGGCTCTTCACTGTAAAGAAGCTATGCAGCCATTCTATGTTCCTTGTTGTCTCTTGGGAGATTTATTTGCTACCAAGGCAGTGCATGGGCGAGTAAAAGGAGAATGAATGTGTCCTCAGAAGACACCATTACAAAATACTCCCCTATGCAGAAATTGTGACATGAAAATGTACTGATGAGTTCATTGCCTAGTGGGGCTATTTCTGGCGTGTTTACCCTCACCTCTTCCTCAGAGCTGTGCCTACTGTAAGCAACTAGTTCTGAAAGTTTGCTTAAGATAGCAGTGCAGTGTTAAACAGCGGAAGCATTTTCCTTTGAATATGACTATCCTCCAAAAGAAAACAGGTATGAGTAGCTTGTTTGTACAATAAAACCAGTTGTTAATATGCTTTGGGAGCTGTTTGAATCCAGGATGTTATAAATGGGGGAACATTATCACTAGAACGTGCTTTTAATGGTAAACGATCTGTATGAAGTAACAAAAAGAAAGAGATTACAAGGGAAATGTAAAGATCAGGTTCAAAAGCATATCAGAATAATTTATAGGGCCATAGCAGAGATTTACATACAGTAGTTTCATGGGGCCCTGTTTGCTGAGACCATCTCTGGTAAGCTATAAAAATGCCTAAAAATCTACTACAAGGCATGATTCTGCCATGACTGAACTGAGAATGAGATGCTCATCCTCTAGATGATAAAGGAGGTACAATAATGTCATTATAAATGAGAACTGACTATGGTTTTCCTTTTACATCGAACAAGAAGAGAATGAGAAAAACAATAGCAATCCAAAGGCTTGTTCATTCTCTGAGCAAGAACTAGGTCTCCAAATCTTCCAGTCTGTCTTGGTCAACAGAAAAAAAAATCCACTGTGAACAACTGTTTTAGAAAATCACTTATAAATATAGTAAAAGCTAGTGGATTTTGAAAAGATCTGCAAGCAAAAGGCAAAATACATGTAAGGTTCAAATATCAGAATATGAGTTGTATTAATTAAAGGAAACATTTTGTACGCTAGGAAGCAGATACTAAAAAGATATTGTTTTACAATCAGAATATGAGTTGTTGGTACTATATAAGTATATTTTCCTGCT